CCCGTCCCTCTCTGAGTTCTGGAAGGCTGCACTACAAGCATCGCTTTTGATTAAAAAAAATACTTAAGTCATTTCCTGATTTGACTTAGAACTTCAATCAAATTATTTTGGGATTAAAATTATTATCTTTATTGTCAGAGTACATGTGTACAATGAGATTGGCTGAGCCTCCCTTCATGCACCCCCCAACACTACTCACAGTGAGGACAGAAGTCCCTAACCCAGTCCCAATCTTATTACGCTATGAGACCTTGTTGCACAATGCGCCAGCCCCGCAAGTCTATCATACTATGTTGACATGATTTCATGTTGTGATGGCTGTTAAATGAGATAGTCTTGTTAAATAACGCCCCCCCCCCCCCCCCCGCCCCTGCTCTTACTGATGCAGTCATTAAGCAATTGTGCAGGTTTTTAAATGGAGCATAGGGAGGACTAGCACAGGCCTACCTGTCCTCGGCTTCCCAAGGACTATCACACCTTGAGGCACTCATATTTTGTTTCTTAACCCTCAGGGTCCCTACAACTCTTGGATATACTTTTCCCCAAGCAGGACTTTTCCCTTCTCTGGATCCTACAGGCCTTGAGCCTGCTTTCCACCCTATTGTGCCTCACACCTTCCTCCTCAATTACTTTTTAAAAATCTTTGGGGTTGAGGAAGTTGGGATAGGGAAGGAGAACAGGGAATCTATTGCTGGGCTGCATGTCACAATTCTACAAGCAGCTCTAGTTTTCTAAGCAACTATTTTCAGCATTACACTGCACAGCCAGCAACAGAGTAGCATGCTTTGCTTTGCATTTTTCAGGGAAGCAAAACAAAATAGCATAATCCCAGAAGCAACCACTCAGAAAATGGCAGCTAATTCTATGATCATATCATATCACCCAGCAAGGAAAAGGTTGTCCTCCTCCCCTCTTCTGGCCTCTTGAGTTTCAGGGATTTTTTTTTAATTATTATTTTTTATTGTACAATTTTCTTGGTTTTATATAAAATTTCTATATTCACAATAACATGGGTACAATGTCTACAATCTGTATTGAATACAGATAATAGATCTTATACACACAATAGTTAAAACTATTATTCTCAATACCTATTCACCTTCATCTTCACTTATCCTTATTAAAATTTTTGCATTATTTAATTAGGTGCTCTGTTCAATTTTGTCTATGATCAGTTAATCATATCAAACATTATAAACATCATGTAAACATCACATTTATAAGCATTTAACTTCCAAATAATTATAAACTTTTAACTTCCAAATAATTAAAGTTTACTTACCTTAATTATTCAATGTTCATTATTCAATTACACAAATTACTTCATCTTTGTTTACATATACAGATTTCTAACTTCTGCTATTTTCTAAACATTAATAAAATAGTTCCCAAATTAAAAAAGTAATCTTTGCCCCATTTCTAATTTCTATCTTTATACTAATTCTTAATAGTACATCTCATGTGTTAAACAGTATTCTGCATTTATTCCTCATCTCTTGCCTGTTTCATATCTCAACTCTTATTGACTTCTTGGCACATCTCCCATGCTCCTCCCATGGGGTCTTGTATCTTCTTGTCTCTTTCGTGTTTGATCTAAGTATTTCTTATATCTCTGCCGCTTCTTCACTCTTTTGAACCTTCAATACACCTTTTAATGATTTTTTCCTCACTTCAGGGGTGTCTTTCTGTATATCCCCTTCTAATTTTTGATCTCTTAAAGTGTAATTCACTATTTCTATTTCAGCTTTTATTACCTCTTCTTTTTTATCTTTTTGTGTTATTTGTCATTTTCCCTCTCCTATCCTTTTCTTTGTTCTATTTTCTTTATTTCCTGAATTTCATGTTTATTGTTCATTGTCTTTTGCTCATAGTTTTCTGGTCTCACAACTACATCATATATCAATTCTTTTATCTCCCTATGGTTCCCTGTCATCATTTCCTGCGTACCTTAGAGAATCAATAATATTTCTTTTAGTAAGGCATTTATTTCACTCTGCTGTACCATTTTCCCTTATTTTAATAAATTTAAAATTTTCCTGACAAAATTCCAATGTCCCAGTTATGTCACACCAAGATAGCCAGTATTAGAGCAGTTCACAAAGTCACTCCATTAATTAGTCCCTTAACAATCTCCACTTTGTTTCACAACTCCAAGCTGTTTCTCACTGTCTGGCGTATTTATAATTCTCAAGGCTCTAAAAGTTGAATGTTTTCAGTTTGTCTTGAAGCACCAAATATAATCAGTTTGCAGGTGTTGTTTAATGTATTCCAGCTAATCTGCCCTAGTCATAACAACTTTCACTTCTTCTTTTTCCAGCTCTATTTTGCCTTCCTTGGCCAGCAGATGTCACTGTTACTCTTTTTCTCCACTTGCTGCAAATAAAATGTCTCCAAAAATATTTTCCAATAATTTCCCAAAGTCCTTCAAATCAAAGTGATAGTAAAAGTATAATCCAGAATTTTGAAACAATGTAATTTTTGAAAAACTAACCAATCCAGTCTGTCTTTTATTTTTAAAATTACTTCTGTCTACAATTTCTTTTCTTTCTTTTCCAAATCTGATAGTAGTTCTAGGTCTTAGTCACTGCTATTTACATCCGTTGAGTCCCACTTTCCAAAAGGGAAAATTAGGGAAAATTTAGGGAAAATTCCATGGCAAAAGTTAGAAGAATTCTTACCCACACCAAGCACAGTTACAGGATCTTTCCTTTCTTCTCTTCTGTTTCAGCTGTCATCACAGCTTCGGTTCAGCCATAATGGATGTCTTCTCTTCTGCCAGTTCAAGGGGTTTTCTAAAGGTCAGATGCGGAGACTGCGCTCTCTTCATGACCACAGAAGCATCTCTTCTGCCTTCATCACCCCTATGGGGTGACTTTTGGCCCCATAGAGCCCCCGGGCTGAAGAAATCAGCAGGACTTCACAGAGCTACTGCTCGTCTGCACAGCTTCGCCGTGACGTCAGCTGCCTTCTCCCTGAGTTTCAGAGATTTTTGAAAGATGACGAGAAATGTGTGGGGCCTGGTGGAGTGGATAGGAGGCCCAAAGCCTGAGGGGATCCAGTGGAGAGATGGGGGCAGGAGAGAGGCAGGGGACACTGTATGTCCCTGCAGTCGAGAAAGGGAAAACAATCATGGGAGCACTGCAGCAGCAGTAGTTTTTGGATGACGTCATAGTTTTTGTGAGGCTCACAGTAACTTCAAACGGTTGCTAAGTGATCTATCATAAGTCAAAGATTACCTGTGTTTCCACATATTACTATCTAGCTACATGCAGAATATAAGTATAGAGATCATAAGTACAGAAGTATAAACAAAAAAAATGGGAACAGAGTTATAGATATGTGTGCAGAGAAAATCTACTTATGCTATCCACTGGTAGGATTCAGCCGGTTCGTATCGGTTTCCTGCAAACTGGTTGTTACATTACAAACTCACTCACCTACCCCACAGCTATTAAAGTGGATCCCGGGCATTGTGCTGCAATGGAAAAATAGGCAACAGAGCAGCATACACGAGGGAAGGAGAAGGCTGCTTTCCCTCCTCCTTCCCTCATGTCGGCCACTCCGTTGTCTGTTTCTCCATTGCAATGCAACCTTCATGATTCACTTTGATAGCAGGTGTATATGTGTGTGTAATAATTTGCCTGACCAAACTAACTCCACAGTCTTTTATCGTGCTGCCAACTTAATTCCTTGTCCCTCTCACTTTTGCCCGCAGGCTGACCAATAGCCCCTACAAGCAGCTCCACAGGGATGAGGGGAAATCCTTCTCTCCACTTCCCCCCTTCATCTTCCCACACGATCTCTTGGGAGCATGGGAGCATTGACTCCTTGTCTCTATGGTAATCTCCCCTTCCTCGTACCTTGGAAACCTCACCTCTTAAAGGAGCCACATCCAGAAGACTGAAACAGCCGCAAGACCAACATGTAGACCAGCACCCTTGGAAACAGCCTTTCGGCAAAGGGTGAAAATTTAACAACCGGTTTGCCCAGGGTCAGGTTGGCCATTGCAGGAGGCTTGTCCTGCAAACGTGGCGGAGCATGGAGAACAGGGATGGGCCACGCCTCCTATGATAGTCAACCTGACAGACCCTAGGTAAACCAGTTGTTAAATTATCTGAATACCACCTATACCCTTGTAAAAAGAGAAGTAGGACAAAGACAGATGTTTTGGTGGTGGCTCCAATTTTATGGAATGTGCTATATTCTCTCCCATCTGATATTTTGGAACATAGCAAAGATCCTTCTTTTTCAGTGGTGCCCAGGTAGCCATTAAAGTTGTTAGGATGGTTCAGAATTCTTTGATAATTATGTTGATGTTTTTAAGTTAAGTGTAACTTAACAACTATATGAATGGGGAATATTAGAATTATTTTAACCAAATAATATTAAGTAATAATATCACACATACATACATGTGTGTGGGTGTATGTATGTGTAAACTATTGTATATGTTAGTGCATGCATAATATATATGCACAAGTGTACATGTACTGTTAATATTAACAATATAGTTGTATAATAAAGTAATAATATTATGAAAGTAATAGTATTATGAAAGTGACATTTCAGTGCAGGAAATAAAGGTATGTCTAATATACGTTAGATCTTTAAAAGAAAGATTACATTTTAAAATAGGTCCATTTCCAACTGTCATAATGTACAATAAACACATACATACATACATGCATATACATCCATATGTATATGTCAATGACTCATGAAATCAATAGTACCATAATTTATGAATTTGATAGATGAAGAGGACTTAATGTAGTAAATATCAATTAGTAAAGTATACTCAATGTATATTCAGCATAAGCTGCAAAAAGGTAAACTGGGTAATTAAACTATATCTGAAACTCAGAAACTACTTTGTCAAATGTTATTGAATAAAAATTTACATATTATCCAAATAAGAACCAAAAATAACTGGAAACCCAAAATAAAATTAAAACTCAGTTTCAATTATTGAGATTTTTATGCTAAGGTGCCTTGCTCACCTGGAGAAATTATGTAAAAAAAGTTTTTGAATTCATCCATCCAAACTTCTGCAAGTCGCCTATTATTTTTATTAATAATCTGTCCAGTGCCTCCTGGAAAAGTGTAAGGAGTGGCTTTTCGGAAAACATGTCCCACATGTGAACATGTCACAATTTCCAAAGTTCCTCCACATTGCCAAATCTGAAAATGCCAAAAAAACGCTATTAAAAATCATTTACAATATACTTCCTATACAATTCAAAATAAATTACAATTGTATAATAAAACCTGACCTGTAGAGACTGAATTTTCAGGTGCTCCCTTTGTATTATTCCATTCTGGCATATTAACAAGGCTTATGTATGCCTTTAATAACACTGCAGAAATATTTATGTGAAGGTCCTTCTGTTTCTACTGAAAAATATACCCAAACACATGCAATTTAAAATGATATTTCTTACTCTGAATGAAATCTCTAGGTTTTCTCCTCCCCATATATCCATTCCAGCATCATACGTTCCAATTTCTTGAAAATAATCTCTGTCTATGGAAAAGAGGCCTCCTGCCATTGTAGGTGTCCTAAAACAAGAATAAAATTTTCTGAACTGAGATGTGATATTTATCAATGTTTAACAGTGAATTCAAATGGTGAGTGCCAATCAAAATGGACATAAAACTGAACCACTGAGAAACAAGGAGACACTGGCCTATTCCAGAGCTTTGTGGATATTCACTACAACATTCTATTATTGTACAGCAGTGCTTCACAAACTTTTTTCATAACCCAAACTGGTTATCTATATGCCCTGTTTACTGCTTATCAGAGTCTTTATTTAAAGTCCTGGTGGTTTTTGGATAATGGGTTTATGTGTTGTTACCAAAGAAACTTAATTGTTACCCAATTTGGGGTAATTTAGTCAGGTTCAAGAAGCACTACTGTACAGAGTAAAGAAAATAAATTTGATGGAGATTACTAAAGCAACAAAGTGAAATACTGCTTAAATTAACATAATAGGGAAAGATTATGAAAATGATTCAAGACACTTCCCTGACCCTGCAATTCACATGAATGTAACTGGGGGTGGGGGAGGGAAATAATCAGATTTTCAAAATCTAAATAAATATATTTTTGGTCTATTGTATAGTCTGCCTTGTAGGGTTGACAATTATCATCCAATTTGTATTACTCCAAAATTAAAGCATATTTATGTTATCACTAAAATAGTATATAATATTTTCTTATTTAAGATACATATAATTCTAATAGGATTAATCTTTTTCCCCTCCTGGGTCTATTAAATTTTGTGGGGATGACTTACGAAGTTTTTATAAAAAGAAAAGATAATACAACAGCTAGATTCTGAGCTATTGGTAGATTTCAATTATAGCCTCCCTCCATTGGACTATAATGACTATATTGATTCTGAAAATCAGGAAACAGCAATAATGCCTATTTTTTAAAAAGAGATTTTCTAGATAATTATTGTCTAGTCATTCATTAAAGATCATCAGCAAATTTTAAATGTGCTTTGAGATTCTTTGCCATTTATTGCAAGGGTGAAGAATTAGAAAAAATATGAAAAAACTAAAGTTTTGAATTCTCAAATTCAGAAAACCAAAATTATGAAACATCTTGGAATATTTTTTCAAGCTTCCAGTGGGAAAAATGCTTGTGCTATGTAATTCAGAAAATCAACCTCAGCAATTGAATTATTTATTGATCATGGAGTGTCTTATTCATTTCTTCTACCTTAAAGCTATTCTCTGCTAAAGAGTGCTCTCAGTTAGATTCTAATTGTTATTATAGACAGTTCTCGACTTATGACCACAATTGGGATCAGAATTTCTACTGCTAAGCAAGGCGGTTGTTTATTTATTATCTATAAAATTTATATGCTGCCCATCTAACTATCCAAAGAGACTCTGAGTGGCTCAAGTGACTCTTGTTAAATGAACAGTGTCCAATTTTATGATTATTTATTTTTTTGCCGTGATTGCTTACCAAATCATTGCAGTTATTAAATCATGGCCATTGCAATGTGCCCATGATCACAATTTCGGCATTAGGCAATCCACCTGGTTTAAGACCAACCACAGGACTAATGCAATTATCCTCATCATGCTATCTCAGCCAACCACTCTTATGACACACAAAGCTGTTGTAGTCCTGGAGACCCAAGCCTGCTCCTTACCCCAACAGGCCCAAGAGGCTTCAGTCAGTTATAAGGCCCAGCAGCATATATTGCTTCATTTACCTTTGTTCTATTGAACTGCTGACAAGCACACCCAGACAATGTGAGATGCAGTCTTTCTATAGAAGCCACCTTACACCTGTTTTTAAGCAAGTTCATTTTCACAATTGTTCAAAAGTTCCTCATGCAATTTGAAGGAGCCTTCCAAAAACTCCAATTGGCACCACCTTGCAGAATGGTGCAAAGCAGCCTCTGTAGGAAAGCTATGCTTCACATCAGTTGGACACACCTGCCAGCAGCTGCAGAAAAACATAAAGGTAAGTGGAGTACTTCATGGATACTGCTGGGCCTTTAACCAGTTGAAGCTTCCTGGGATCAGTGAAATGGAAAGCAAACCATCTCCTGGATGTGGTGAGAAGAAAGAAAGCTTGGGCCTTCTGGCCCATGGCAGGTTTGCATAAAGTCCGGTGGGATGATCCCCGGCCACTCACTGCCAGGCCTCCACCAACCCTGTGAAGACCCTACACTCTGTTTAACAACCTGTGTGATTCCTTAACCAGAAGAGCCAGGATTGTTAGCAAAAAGATCATGTTACATCTTAATCATTGCTTCACTCAATGACCAAATATTTCAAATTCATTTGTGATTGTAAGCTGAAAACTACCTGAAAATTCTATCACAGAGGGCTGTTAACTGAGGGTAACATTTTACCAACTGTTATACTACTGGCAGGTATTAAAGGCAGGTATCAGAAGATACCCTATGCCAGTGATCCCCAACCTTTTTTATGCTGCGGCCCGGTACCGGCATCAGCTGGGCGCCGCGGCCCAGTACCGGCATCAGCTGGGCACCGCCATCTTTTTTTGATGAAAAAGTGCTTCCGGTGAGCTTTCTACCCGGAAAAGCTCACCGGAAGCACTTTTTCATCAAAAAAAGATGGCGGCGCCCAGCAAACCAGCGGCCCGGTAGGACTTGTTCCACGGACCGGTACCGGTCCACGGACCGGTGGTTGGGGACCCCTGCCCTATGCTACCCATTTATGCCCTTGTAAAAAGGCACTGTAGAATTACTGCTCATACTTCATAATACCACATGAAATTATACTCATTTACTCTCCAGTAGCAAATACTCAGGGTTTATGAATTCCTATTACATTATAAACCGTCTTCTCTACTACTCGGATATTGCCAAATTTTATCAAATAGTTATTAAAAGTAGGCAAGACATGACATTCTCCAACAATGACATTTGTTGATAGAAACTTTCCGTGACGGGATATTAAAAATCCTTACTATTAACATATTAACTACATCTAACAACTCTTTATTTAGAATTTTAGATAATAAAGTATAATTTTTTAGGTTTCAGTTAAGGATATAATTTTAGCCTTAAATTTAGCTTTAAACACAATGATTCTCGGGTTTTAGATCATTTTCAATTCAGGTTTTAGATTGTCTTAGTTTTTTTTGCAAGTCCCTACAATTTTCTTGGCATGATTTGGTTGCCACTGCTTCCTTCATAAGGGCAGAGAAAATGACTAGTCCAAAGTCACCCAACTGGCTTTGTGTCTAAGAGAGGACTAGAACTCGTGGTTCTAGTCTAATGCCTTAACCATTATCCCAAACTAGGTTCTCCTTTTTAGCATAGTTTTAAATATATTAGGATAGCATATGCCCAGGCACAGAAAATGAATTATGCTTTAAGGTGCTACTGCTTTCTGTTGTTGTTTTTTCTGAATTTTTATGCTGATCTTTGATGAAATAAATATGATATTGATATTGAGCCAAGACATGTTAAGTTCAATCTGCTACAAACATATAAACTGGTATGGTTCATGAAATGATTCCTTTAGATTAAACTATAGAAAAATATATGTATGGATTAGGAAGATGCTATGATGTTTTTTAAGTTCTCTAAATATTCCAGACTTAATCTGTTCATGTTAGGAACAATGCCTGTATAAACTGATTCTCACTATGCTATCTGATTAGGCATTATGCCAGCCAGATCTTAATTGCATGTTTATTTATTTATAATATTAGTAGGTCAATGTTTAGGACAAAATTCTTCTCAATACACCTTTATTAAATAGTGTAAAAGAAATCAATAAAATGCTTATGTCCAAAAGTTAAAAATTCCCCCCTCCTTTCATTTTATGCTGTGGGAACTATGTTTAGTCTAACAAACAAAAAGACTAGGTATGAATTATAGAAGTCTTCCAATTTTTGAAGGCTGTCACCTTCTTAGGGGGCAACTATTATCCAAAGCCCCTGAGGGCAGGAAAAGAAGTAATAGGTAAAAGATTATTAAAGAGAGATCCAACCTGGAATTAGGGAGAAATTTCCTGACAGTAAGAACAATGGAACTAGCCTCCAAAAGTTGTGGGTGCTCCTTCACTGGATGTTGGACTACCATTTGGCTGGAATGGTACAGGGTCTCCTGCTCAAGAAGGGGATTGGACTAGAAGACCTCCAAGATCCCTTCCAACCCTGTTATTCTATGTTCTAATTCAGTAAGTGGCTTCAGAGAACAAATGTCCTAGAACCGTCTTAAAAGTTACCAGTGATAGGGTGTTAATAAACTTCAATAATATCTAACTTCCATATGTCTTTCAGTGCCTTTCACATCCTCTTTCTTTCCATCCACTTTCCATCCATTCTGTTGACAACGTATTTCTTAATTCCTTTTCTTATAGAGCTCGTACTTTATATTCCTGCAGTTATTCTAATTTCATTCTTTTTTCAATGTGTATTCCTGTTGTAATGACGAGGCAGTCGAGTTGTTTGATCATGAACAACTGAATCATGATGATCTTTATTGGAGTCTAGTCTTGCATTTATACACATTTTTAGTTATCCTCCAACATTGGTTAACTTTGGTTACTGCTTAACTTTTGTTACTGTTTAGCACAGTAATCCATACAATTAATTATCTCTAGTTAAAGTCTAACATATGTTTACTTCCTCTCTCTAATCCTCCTTTAGATTAGTGACTTTGTTTACCTGAGTTGTATTTGCTTGGAAACATTCTTTATCTGAGGTTTGCCATCCGAGATTGGAACATTCCTGCAATTACAACTCTACATATTCCCCAATTCTCTTGAAACTAACAAAATGCTCTGCCCTACAATCATAACCTATCATCTAATTTCAATCTTTAATCATAAATAATCAAATCAATTATTGATTCATTTATTTTCTATGTGTAAATGAAAGTTTGGTCTAGTGATTATGGCACCAGACTAGAAATCAGAAGACTGTGAGTTCTAGATCTGCCTTAAGCATGAAAGCTGAATGGGCGACTCTGATTCAGTCACTCATTCTTAGCGCAACTGATTCACAGGGTTGCAATTGTGGGGAGAATAAGAGGAGGAAGGAATATTATGTATGTTCACCACCTTGGAGTTATTTATAATTAAGGTAAGATAAAATAAAAAGACAGGTGCTTTAAACAAACTTTTTTATAAATCTGAATTTTTAGATCTTCAAATGGTTCAGTCACTTTTCTACACTCTAATTCCTACCTATTCACTTGTACAATTACAGAGTAACATTTCCCCCATATCACATTGATTCAGATTTTCCTCCAAACACATTTCTTGTTCTTCTGTTATTAGAGTACAAATTTCACCAATTGAGTTTCTACTTCCATATGCACAGTGAAAAATTTAGATACCAATTAAATTCCAACACGTTTTAGCGTTTTCATTCAGGTAAGTCTGCATTTTCATTTTAACATGATTTCAGTTTTCTCTACATTATTTTACTTTCACTCAGATTTATCACTTCTTTCCCCCCTTTTCTTACCTTCACAAATGCTTAATTTGCCTATTTCCTGTTGCTTTCATTTGTTTAATTCATTTTTTGCCATTTATTCTTCTTACATCCCAATTAGGATTTTTTCCATGTGTTGTCATTACCAGATGATACCACAGGTACTGATCATATAACATTATGGTTTTAATCAATTAAAGATTTTACATTACAACATTTACATTTCCTGCAAATATTCTGGAAAAGTAATTATCAGTATGATCATGTTTTGGCCAGAATGCCACAAATGTACTGAAAGTCCATTTCACCCAATACAAGCCAAAATGTCTAAACCAGAGATTATCTTGCAAGCCAACACTATCCCAATAACCTCAAATTAGTTATTTTACAAATAGTCCTCCGGTTATATCTATTTGTTCAATGAGAGTTAGAAGGTACTGAATGAATGGTAGTTACTACCCGTCTCTGAAGTTCCAGCCACTGCAGCTTTCCCAGTATCATGTGATCAAACTTCAGATGCTTGGCAATGTTTGACAAGTATACGTCCACCTATCTTCACCCCCACTCGCTACTAACTCCTACTCCTCTTCCATCTCCCTCCAGCTATCCCCTACTTCAGCTTTCCCCACTTGACTTTTGCTGCCCTCTTTCTCCTGTTTTTGATGAATTGTGCCCAGCAGAGGCAGCTGCTGATCCTTTTCAAGGACTTTGTGAGAAAAGCTGCAGTAAGATATGTCGAGGCTTGGGAGAAAGGCCATATGGAGGAGCAGCAGGAATAGGCAGCAGCAGTAGAGTGCAAGGTAGTCAGAACAGCAGAAATGGGGTAGATGGAAGAGGAGTAAAAGTTATGGGTAAGAATAATAGGGCAGAAGTCCTGGCCTAACAGTCACAACTGGGACTGCCACTATTAAATGCTGCAGACAGGTGAAGTTTCACTAATGAACATTTTACTTAGCAATGGAAGTTTAGTCCTAATTAGAATCACAACCTGAGGATTACCTGTTCTAAACATATTTTAAACTTTTAATTATTTACATACTCATTTTAATTTGTTCATATATTTACAAATGATCTTTCAAAACAAACTCATAATAATATTGGTATCCAGTAATGCAAAACAAATAATTTATCATTTGAGCTCCCCATTATCCTCACTATATTCAAAAACAAAGGCATTAATTATTACAAATGTATTATTTAGCTTTAATACTGGAATTCTTTAGTATGCTGCATATCCATATAAATTATATTAATAAATTCTTAATTTGAAAATAAACTAACAGCATCCTTTTCTTGCTATACTCTCTTCAAAATATTCTGAAAGCATGGTGCTTGTCAGCTGTTTTCAACTAACTAGGCAAGAAATTGGCAAGAATAAATTTCTACAGGCATGATGTGGAGATTATATGGAAATCATAGAAAAGTTGTGAGGCCATTACACAACAATTCCAATGACTTCCATGTATCAAATGCATAATTATGGTAAAATTATAGTTCATTTTTTTACTTATTTGTCATATTCATATTGCTCATCTCATAAAACATGATTTATTGGTCTAAACAGTGTAACAGTTTAAAGATTTTTATTTCTGGGTGGAGGAATAATTTCCATTTTCCTCTGGTTTTGGAAATGGAGCAGTGGTTTCAGGTTGTTTAACTGACCTTCTGAGAAATATATTACACATTAATTCATTACTCACAGAGCCTTGTAATTATTTCTAACTCTCAAAGGAATATCCATCAAACTGAATATCCATTAAAGTATTCAGTTTAATCAAAAATCAGTTTTCTTTACCTAACTGGAAGAGTCCGATCACCTTTCCTTCTATCCATTTCTCTCTGAGGAACAGGATACCATCGGAAATTTAACTTCCAGTTGAATCCTCCATAAGTCATATCAGAGCCTGCCATATATTCAAATGTGTCATCACTGATTACATCAATGATAGGACAAACTACAGTTTTCCTAGAGAAATAAACGACATGGATTGTTATAGACAAATATAATAACATTGCTATGTGTTATTCACTATAGGGGAGCAAATATGCAGCTTATTATTAAATGATTTTGATCCTAATTTTTAAACATTGGAGACTACCTGTAATGATGATGTATAATTAGGGACAAGGTTATTAGAGCCCTCTATGTCACTAAATCATCTGTACACTTGTTCAGATTCAGAAGTAGAGGATGAAATATTATAAACATTATGTCCAGTTGACTTTAACAAAACTAGTATTCCAGGTAAAACATGTGAGATTATTTGAAGCTATAGCTTTCAAAGTAAAATAGTGGCAAACATTTGATGAACCCATATTAAAATCTTCTTCACTTTAAAAAAGCATTTGCATTAAAAAAAAGACTGGGGAAAAGCAGGGATAGCTGAAATTCAATCCATTATATACACACAATTCATTTAAACATGGTTATGTTCTGCTGCTTATTTTTGTCAAAACATGCTCCACTGAACAATAAAACCCTCAGGAGGAACTATTAATTTTAGTCATTGTTTTGAAAGAGTATTATTATGAACACATTTAACTAAATTAATAAATATTAATCTTTAACACGTTATAAAATAACCACCTGTTAGCTTTAATCCGTGCTAACAGAGGCTCAAGCCAACCTACAGTGCATTCACAATGAGCATCTAAAAAGGTAATGACTTGGCCTTTAGAGGCAGCAGCTCCTTTCAATCTGGCTCTGATGAGTCCAGAACGCTGCTCCATTCGAATCACATACACTGGTATTCGTAATTTTTTCACATAGTTCTCCAATGGCCTCTTCAAGAAGTCTGAAAAACAGTGTCAAACAAAAAGTGACTTAAATGTTTCTTGCATATAAACCCTTACTAGCATTTGTCTAATTTGTAGATTGACTTTGATTTCAGCTATGAAAAAAATAACCACAAATCCAGCAACAAGCTACAGCAAATAGTAAATTACAAAATGGGAGACAGAAGTAATACAAGGGATATGGAAAGAGGGAGGACTTCTGTTGGAAATTGCAACTTGAGATATGTTCCAGTTTTTGGTCTGATACCAATTCTCCACAGTTCTACACTTAAGAGTGAGTTTCTACGTCTGAAGAAATTTCCCTGGGGAAAGGAAAGTTCTTGATATTTATTTATTTTTTGTTCCGTGGATGGCTGGATGCTCTCGAAGAGCTTCTTGAAGAAATAATCAGGTAGTCTCTGGCTGGGGGAATGAGAACCAGGTCAACCAAGAACCAAGTTCACCATGGAAGAATTGGCCATTTAAAATGAACAATAAAAAGAGGATCTCTTGGCTGCAGCTTGCTTTTCTCCTTTTTGTTGAAACATTATTATTTTTGAATGTCTGTGATTTTAAGGAGGAGAGGTGGAGTTCCTGTAATTGAGCCAAGTAAGGAAGCTGGAAACTACTTCAGAAATTTTATGATTTAAATCTAGAGAATTTTACTACTGCTAAGCTGACGATGCTGAACTTTTTTATTTTTAGAACAAAGACTGTTTAAATGGTGCTTTGAGTCTGTTGTGAGGAGGAGGAAAATAAAAAGTTACCTGCATCTGATTTGAGAAGTTATTTCACTGTAAAGGAACACTGGACCACTTGACAGAATCTGAACTTTACTTGAAACCTACATTGTAGTGGTGCTACAATATTGGGAGAGCCAAAGTCCATAACAGTACTAATAGCACTAAATTAAATGGAATTAATGTTACTAATCTTTAAATTATAGTTATATCAGGATTATGGTGACATAGAAAAGAGTAGAGAGAAGACTATAAGGAAAGCTTGAATCCCTAAGAGCTATTTTGGAAGAATACACAAGTAAAACACATGAAGCCAGTCTAGGCAATGGAAGCAAAGCTTGAATTAAAAATTAATACACTTTCAAAGGAACTCCATGAGGAGATATATAACTGCAGCTGTTAAACAGATAAAGGATAGATAGATTTTCTGGAGCGTATATTGAAGAAGAAAAATATCCAGTATGAAGCTAACTTGGACAAGAGGGCTCTCCTGTTACTACAGCTCAAGCAACTTGTTAAGGTTTTGAGCAATTCCTCAATTTTCTGGAGAGGATATTAGATCAAGAACGATTAAATCTTTGACTCAATTAATTAACTGGGAAGAAAAGAAATTGAATCTTGAAATGGATAAAATATGCAGAGCAAATTTGCTACCACAAAAAAATTACCAAGGGATGTTTTAGTCCATTTTGTAAGAACAAGAGATTATGTTTTGTATTACCATTTCAAGTCTAAGTTAAGAATGGAAAATGTAGATATAATTACTTTGAAGGAATTCTTATCAAAATTCTGAGAAAGAGAAAAACCTACTCCTTTCTCAGATATTCTAAAGAGAAAAATTCCATTTCACTGGGACAAACATGAAGGAGTGATATTTACTTACCAAGAACAAAGATTTAGATTGAATTATGTAAAGAAAGCCAAGGATTTCTTGATTAAATATAAACTATGGATGCTGTTGAAGAAATGCATACAGATAAGAAGTAGATCAAGCTCAAAAATCTGATACGGAAAAAGAAAAGATGATAGAGATAGCTGCACAAGAATTTGCCATATTATCTAAAGATAGAGAGTAAGTATGTAACATGGAATATTAATGGGGCTAATATCCCATCCAAGTGTAAAATAATATTTTACTATCTGAGGAAATTGTATCTTGATATAGTTTGTCTTCATAAACAAGATACAAAATAAGAAACATTTAATAAATAAAAGACATGGGGAGGATTTTATATCAACTGGTTTAAAAAGATTGAGTCATTTTATATAAAACCCTAATTTTAACTCAAGTTAATATAATCACAAGTATGGTAAATTGTAGCTATAGAAATGGAGCTTAATGGAATAAAATCAATAGTAGTTGGACTTCATGTGCTAAATGATGATAAAAGTAAACTTTTTGAATATTTTATAGATCAACTATTACTTTTTTCTTATGAAAAAATAGCTTATTTTCAGGGCCTGGAATGGAGTGATTTCTTCAGTCTTGGTTAGAACATCTACTAAAGGGATTAAACTTTCTCAGGGCAAATTACCAAAGATTTTCTTCAAGATAATGGACAATTTAGAACTGATAGATTCGTGGAGGCAAAGAAATGACTCTTCTAGAGACTTTTTTTCAGACAACATATATCTTTTCAAGAATCTATATGATATGGATCTAAAAAAAATCTTGTGAATAAAATTTCAAAAATTAATATTTTACCTATTTCTCTGCTCATAGCCCTATTGTTTTGTTAGTTAGAAAAGAGATCTTGACATAGATGGAGATTAAATGAATCCATTTTACAAAAGGAGATGATTGTAATGGATTGTAAAAAGAAATTAAATGAATATTTTTATAATAATCTGGGTAAATGACAATTTATTGACTGTTTGGATGCTAGGAAAGCAGGGCTATTTTATACAACATAATTGTCTAGAGAAGAAATCCAAGGAAATGATCTTGGATGATATTAGAAAGAAATTAAACTGAAAATAAAAGACATCTATGGAAATTTTACAGCAAATTAAACAGATACATCAACAATTGTCTGTAAACAGTTCAAGAATAAAAATTATTTGAATTTTGTGAAACAAAGAAATTTTGAGTTTGCAAATAAACCAGGAAGATAGGAGGCACATAAATTACAAAAGGAAAGAGAAAAGCAAATGATTGAGAAAATCCATAAGCTGACAAAGTAATAACAGATAATGATCTTATTTAAAAGTCCTTTCACAACTTTTACTTTATCTTTACAAGAAGCAGAACAACGTAGATAAAATAGAAGAATACCTGCAAAGACTAAACGTTCAACTTAGAGACAACTTATGAATGATACAGTAACTACTTTGAAATATCAGAAACTATTAAAAATGAAATCAGGTAAAGCTCTAGGTCCAGATGGTCCTACAAGCCAATATTATAAATGCTTTTAGGATCAACTTCTTCAGCCACAAAAGGGTATAATGAATGGAGTATTACAGGGAACAGAGATGTCTCAAACCTGGAAAGGAGCTAATATTGTATTATTACCAAAGAAAGGTCAAGATGTCTGGAGGATAAAAAAAAAACTATAGATAATTTCATTGTTAAATAATGACTATAAACTTTTCACTGCAATTTTGGCGAAAGATTGAATAAATTTTTAGACATGTGTTCATGAAGCTCAGTGCTGGTTGTTACCAAAAAGACAGCTGAAGAGACAATGTGAGGACTGTTTTGAACATTACTGAATATCTGCAAAATCATGAGAAACAGGCAGCTTTCATAGATTTTCCATACAGTGAAGGCCTTTGACAACTTAAATTAGTCTTTTATGCTTAAAGTTTTAGAAGATATGGACTTTGAAAAGAAATTTATTCAAGAGGTTAAATCAGTTTATACATCAGAGCAAGCAAATGGAGATTTAACTAAATCATGTGAAATTCAAAAGACAAGGATGCCCTTGATCTCTTTTTTATAGTTTTTGAATAATGATATTAGGCAAGATGGGGAAATAATAGTTATAAATATCAAAAAGGAAATTTGTACATTGAAAGCATGTGCTGATGATTTAGTTATACTTTTTCAATGCCCCAAATATTGAATATTTGATGAAGAAATTAAATGAGTTTGGAGCTTTAGTAGGCTTTGAAATAAACAGAAAGCAACAATGCTTATTAAGAATATAACCTTTCATGATTGTGACATATTGAAAATTCCAGTTGTAATATGGAGAAAAAAATTGAAATACTTGGGGGTTATATTGACAAATACAAGTGTTAAACTGTTTCAAAACAATTTAGTGCCTCTTTGGAATGATATTAAAAAGACTTATTTAGATGTTTTACCAAAGATATCAAAGATTTTCTGAAACAGAAAATGTATCTTTGGTAAATGTATCTTTTTACTGATACTTATAACTGATACTCCATTTAAACAATAGCAGATGCATATCTATAAGTTTATATGATAAGAGAAAAAATAAAGAAGATATAAATAATTGTAAGCTGCTAAGAAAATTAGAGGTTTGGATTTACCAGATTTGAAATTGTACTTTGATGCCTGGTCTGGCTAAAAGAGTGGGTGATTCTCCAAAATAAGATGTTAGAGGGCAATGAATTAAGAATTGGACAGCATGGCTATTTATGGTATAAGGTTTGGACAGCATGGCTATTTATGGTATAAGGTTAAAATAAATGATAATTTTAATAATCAATCTATTAGACATGCCATCCTAAGAGTTTGGAATAAATATAAAGTAAGATTCTCCTGGGTCCCAGGAAGATTTACAATATTTACATACAAGCCATGCCCAGCCAGTCCTGTGACCAAGCCACACCCACAAATTAGGCCATGCCCACAGAACAGGTTAGTGGTCCCTGGGATCTAAAATTATGAGTTTGGTGGTCTCTGTGGTCCAAAAAGTTGGCAACCCCTGTATTAGAGGATAACGCATCTTGCCCCAAAGTCTATATCAGTGGTCCCCAAACGTGGCAACTTTAGAACTTGTGGACTTCAATTCCCAGAATTCTCCAGCCAGCTATACTATGCTGGCTGGAGAATTCTGTGAGTTGAAGTCCACAAGTCTTAAAGTTGCCGTGTTTGGAGACCTCTGGTCTATATAAATAAAGCTGGGGGGAAAAAACACTTGCAGTGCTTTTTATTTAATGTTGACAGCATCACAAAAAAGACTCCAGGTCTTTCAAAAATTGGCAATTAAGATTCTAGAAAAATTGTGGTCTGGATGTAAACTAAATAGTTATTGTATAAATACCTCCAAACTGATATATAAGAATGAGCAGACCAAAACACTGCC